AAGATCATATAACATCTATATTAATGTGAATGAATGAACATATACATTATACCACTTACTTTCATACAATACAACCATAATGTCCACCATCATGATGTGGCCACAAGAGAGAGGAGCAACCAAAACCAGGAGCTTACCTCACTGAGCTTATCACAAGCCCAACTCCAACAGTAAAATAAGTATGCTACAATAAGCCCTCAAGTGCCAAGTCCTCTAGGAAAACCTAGAGCATGAATCATTTACATAATTAATACTCAATCACTTAATGATTCTATATTTCATTCTTACATGCCAATAATATGCCCATTACAAGTCTAGACCAATTATTACATAATTACGTATTTTAGTGTATTATGAAGTGTTCACATTTACACAATCAACTACGTGTTTAAGCACCTTGCATAATATTAGAATCACACTCTAGGATCACTAAGGTACTTAGATTATTTTCATTCATCTAAGCCATATATATACTTATTATAAGTTACTAAGGGGTTCCTATAAACCCACTTAGCCTAAATCTCACTTTTACGATTTTCTTATAATTGTACATGCTTCTGTTTTCCAGTCACTGCACGCAACCCACTATTTGTAAAATTGTCATCTTTTATTATGTTAATCTAGACTCAATTAAATTTCCAACAAGATATCACATGCCTTATTTGGGGTTTTCTAGCTCCGGTTATCGCCATTTGAAGTTGGACAAGCAAAGCTGTCTGCCAACTCCGAACAGAGCCCTAAATATCCCTTACCATTTATACGATTCTGAAAAATCTACTAAACCAATTTCTCTCAAATATTTATGCAGACAACTAGACACCTTCAGTTTTAATTCGACTTATTATGGGCCTAATTTGAGTAAGAACTTAGGGAGAAAAAATTCGTGGAAGTTGCAGCCATGTACAGCCCCTGCACATGGCCTCCTAGGGCAGTCTCCACTCAATCAAACCTATAGAATGCTCTACATCCTCAAATGGTACCACATTGTGACACCACATAGCTAAGATATCAAGCTTCAAAATGATAAAAGGAACATCCCTATAGGACCTCTGTGAAGGGAGATATGCTCTCTCCAAGTTGGCCTAAAAACTGGTCATTTAACCCTAAGTGTGTTTAATTATCAAACCTTAATTACCTTTGGTTAGCAACTCTTAGTCACTTTAATTCTTGGATTTTTCTATTATTAAGTCACATTATGAAATCCCACTTAGTCATATTATGTCATAGTACCTCAAGTTCACTAATTGCATGATTAGTGTTCCTAAACCGTAATTAAGTCCAATTTTAGGGTTTAATATTTAATTAGTGTATTATGCATATTCCACCTCACTTAACCACTACATTAACATCCTAATTAGGTCTTAATATTAATTTTAACATAGTGACCCTAATTAAAACCTATATGGCCGAATTGCATAAATGTGTAGATTAGGATTTTAAACTTATTTCTTAGTAATTTCTTTAGTTAATTAGTACCTACACCTAATTAATGCACTAATCGATGATTTCCTTATTTTTAACACAAATAAACCACATTATATCAAAGAGGGAAGATTTGATTAGTAATGTTCATTAGAGTTTTTAGGCATCCTTAATCAAAATTAATAGGTTTCACTTAAAGTTAATCCACTTAATTAGTCTTTCTTAGTTTCTCTTGGAATATTTCCACACTTAACCACTTGTTAATATTTTTTTCATCATCAAACCCTTGTCCTCCATGGTATGGCTGAATTTCTCATGGTCCCATTAGGGTTCATGTTCCTATTTTTACATGAATACCACACAAGGGTTCAAAGGTGGAATCTTTACACATCAAACCAACCATTTCTTGGTTCAAAACTCACACACCCTCAAGAACAACCATCAAAATTTTTTCTTTTAAAAATTTTCAGCAATATACACCCCATCCACAACACAAAACCGAGGCATTAAAGTGAGGAGAAAAAGCTTTTTGGGTCATCTTTTCCCAAGGTGATGCTTATATCTTCAAGCTCACACCTTTAACTCCAAGCTTCAACTTTTACCAACAAATATGCTCAAGAGTTAGAGCTCATGAACACAAGAGAGAAAGATGAGATTTTTCAAAAAAAAAATAGGAAACTTACACTAAAAATCAAGAGAACCAAGCACACAAGTGTTGTTCTTCAAGAGAACTCAAGAACACAACTCCATTGCCTTTGGAGCTTCAAAAATTGTGGTTGTACATGAAGGAAATGACCACAAAAATTTGATTCACACCATGAAAATGTATGGTTGTGAAGAGGAGAGTGAGGGGAACAATCTTTATGAAGGAGGTTTAGTGATTTGGGGAGGTTTTGGAGGAGAAATCTTAGAGAGAAGTGAGAGCAAGGTTTGAATTTCAAATTTTAGAGAAAGAGAGAGAGAGAGGTTGGAGGCTCAGAAATCTAAAAGGAGAAGGAAGGGATGGTGCCCTAATTAGGGGTGCCATGTCACTTTAGTGGCACTTTGTCCTTTAATGAGACCCAGTGTAATTTTTATCTGAACCGTCGTCAAATTTTTACCAGGAAACCCCCAAGACTCTAACTTTAAGTACTTAACATTAATTTTGTCTAATTATCATGTTCATAACTCAAAAATTTGATTAGTTGATCACAAATCCACTAACAGTTGTTTAATTGCACTGTAGTCTTTATCGGTGTTCTTAACTGTACCCGAATTTCATAATCTTCTTAGAATTAACATTATTGGTCTAATTATGGCTTGTTAGACATATATTGGTCTTTATTTCCATTTTCTCATCTTTTTCCCGTTCCGAGATTCTATCGGCTGCTTCTACAACAGTACAAAATACCCGGCAGAAGTGACTTTTCTAAAATACCTCAATATGGGTTTCAAATTTCATCAAATCATAGATTAGCTCTTTAACTATATCATTAGATTAGCTCTTTAACTATAATTTGCTAACTTAGAGCTATTCTACTGACTGTTATTGCGTCAGCAGTCAGAAATAACAGCTGAAAACTCAACAGTTCAAAATACCTCTAATATGGGTATCAAACTTCATCAAATCCTACACTTACATCATTTATTATATTCATATCATTAGGATAGCTCTCTAACTTAAATTCATTGTACTGGAGCTATTATACAGTCTAATATTGCGTCAGCAGTCAAAAACAACAGATGAAAATTCACCTGACTGTATTCGGGTTTTGGGTCTAAGCTTCTTACCTTAGTTATCAAATGAGGCCTTGAGTAGATCCAAATTTTTCCTATGTTAGATGAAACTAGATCTCATTTGTGTAGATAATATTTTGTATCTCGTTGAGAAGATACAGGAATAATGTGAGAGAAATTTTGGGAGAAGAGTATTTGGTTAAGAGTTAAAATTTGAATAATATTTTAAATTAGGATATAAACGGAAAGGAAAATTCATATTTTTAATAAATTTGTTCATTTAAAACATAAGACATAAAAGCTAGAGTATGTTTTGATAAGATTCTATTATTATTTATTTGAGAAAAAAAAAGCATTTGAAGGAAACAAAAGTAAAAGAGAGGTGGGAACAAAAAGAAATATAGTCGGGTTTTGAGGCTAAGATTCATACCTTAATTAACAAAAGAGATTTGAGCAGATCTGAACTATTCTTATGATAGACGAAACTCAATCTCTATTCTTTATAAGGTATTCTGTGCGCCACTAAGAAAGGGGGAACAATGTGAGAGAAATGTCAAGAGATGAGTAGTAGGTTAAGAGTACAAATTGGAATTAAATTTTTTAAATGAGGGTATAAATGGAATCAAAAATTATATTTTTGATAAAATCAATGTGTTTTTTAGAGAGAGAAAGACCGAGAGAGAGGGGGAGAGAGACTAGAAGACGCATCTGGAAGCTTTGATAAAATGGTTTTTTATTTTAGGAAAATAAAAAAACATTTGAGGAAAACAAAAGCAATAAAGAGGAGCCCACAAAGGAATACAATCACGATTTGGGGCCAAGTTCTCGACCTTAGTTATCAAATAAGACTTGAGTAGATTGAAATTCTTCCTACAATGGATGAAACTTGATCCTGAATCTCGAGAAAGTAGGGAAAAGAGGGAAACAATTTCAGAGAAGAAAAGGGTATTAAGTTAACATTTAAAATTGGAATGAAAATTTTTAAATATGGATATAAATGAAACAAAAAATTTAGGCTTTCGATAAAGTCAAAGTTTTTTTTTTCAAAAAAATAAAAAATATAGAATATGCTTATGATAAGATGCTATTATTAATTTTTTGAGGAAAAAAAAATTGTGACTTAAACAAGAAGGAATAGTAGAGTTTTCGAGCTAAGTTTCATAGCTTAGTTATCAAATAAGACTTACACATCCAAATTTTTCTTATGGTTGATGACACTTAGGGTGTGTATGAAAACCTTCCCAAAATTATTTTTTTTTCAATTTTTGTTCATGGGAATATAAATTGATAGAAACAGTGTTTGACAAAATCAATTTATTTTTTTGTTCCCGAGAATAAACCGGTTCAATTTTTGTGCTGGGAAAAGAAAAAGAATCAAAAAAATAATGTTTGTTTGTTCTCAGGCACAAAATGACAAGCACGTGTCTCTCTCAATCACTCTTTACCACTGCAATCATCACCACAATCACCACCATCTTAATATGACTATAGCCACCACCATCGCCGCTGTCGCTGTACCATCACAAATGAACCAGACCGATGTATATATTAAGCTTCCTTAGAAGACTAGCCTAAGGATACCATTTCCCTCGCAAAATTATGCTCTTAGACAAATGATAATATTATTAAATCAATGGTAAACAAGTGAAAGCTGAAGATTAATATCATAAAATTCCAGTCTCATGCAAGCAAGAAAGAAACTAAAGACTATAATAAGCAGATTGCTTAAAGGCTTACAACAGTAGCATGACTATAAAACTTTTCCAAGTTTAAAATAACATGAGAAATAATGTTACAACAATGATTCATGTCACGCCATAGATTGGAAAGGCCATTCCTTGTGACCCTGAAGTCCATTCTGGTTATGAGTCTTCACCAAGCAAAATTTGAGGTTTGAAATTGCTTGTTGCCACCTTGAGCACATTGAAGGAGAAGTTGTGAAGGTTGGAATAAGCACTTAGCTCCTCTCTTAAGCTTGAAGAAGATGTAGCAATTCCTTTTAACTTGGGAGATGATCTTGCTCTTCTTGGATTATTGTTTCTTGGGGATACATCAGAAGCAACTGGTTTCTCTCTAGCATTGTGATTGGTTGTTGATCTACTTTCTTCTGATTTTCAAGGATTAAAAAAAAGATATCTATTCAGAACATAGTTGTGTCACTTGAGAATGAGATTTAAGTATAAAGAGTCATACCATCACAAAAAGTAATGGCTGAACAATTTCAATAAAAACAAACACTGCCCCTATATATTATAAGTATATATAAAAAATGAATTATTAATTATAATTAGAAAATGATGTAAACTCTAACTTGAATGGTGAAACAAGGTATATGTAGAATACCATCTTTTTTTGTTATTGCCACTAGAGGAGCCACCTTCATCTGCTTTAAACCGCAAAGCCATGCAACTTAACAAAAATCCTGAGTTTCCACAAAAATCGTGAACTTTGGACCTTATACTTTCCCATATTTGAAGCTCCAATGTTCACTCCACGAGGACTTGCCATATCTTCAACTCAGAACCCTAAATTGTAGATATATAAACTTCACCACCAAAACTCAAATAGATAAAAAAGGAAAAAGAATGGAGAGTGCACTGAGTAGCAGAAACAACGACAGATATAGATATGAAAACTCCAAATGCAAAAACCAAAAGCAAAAAATTAACAAATGTAGAACCATTCCAGAACCGAGAGAGGTTCAACACATGAGAACAGAAAATGAACAAACACCACATGGGAAAATCGGGTTTGGAGCATTTTGATACATGAAAAAAAAAGAGGACTTGCAATTGAAAAGAGATGGAATTGAGAGCAAGAAAAACATCACCAGAGAGAGAGAGAGAGGGTGCTTGGGACAAGAACAGAGAGAGAACTGGGGCAATTGAAAGCTATGGAAATTAATGAGATATTGAATATGAGAAATGCAGAAGTGCAGTTTATATTGAGCATTGCCACTGTCACACTACAACACGTGACCGGTGATCAAAGGGATTCTATCGAATTTTAAAATAATATATTATAAATATTAAATTATGAATTTTATATCAAACAAATAAAAATGATTTAGTGATAAGCCTTCCTATCCTCAAATAAGAGAATTCGAATAAGTGACATGCCTTTCATAGCAATTGAAAGCTCTATTCTAGATCTTGCTGAAGAGCTCTCATTCTCACTGATCCAACCTTTGTAATCACATCCAAATCCACACTCACCAAGTAAATTCTGAGGTTTAAAATTGCTCGTGGCCAACTTGAACTCTTGTAGGAGAACTTCCAAAGATGGGAATAAACTGTATTAAACAATTTGATATACAAATATATATTAGAAACGAATTTCAATTAAAATGTAAGTATATAAAATGAATTTTTAACAAAACTGTAGACAGAAAATTTAGCACAAAACTTAAATTAAAAAAAGAAAAGAATGGGAGAGTGCATCGAGTAATAGAAACAACGACAGACATAAGAAAACCCCCAAATGCAAAAGCAAAAGCAAAATTAACAAAATTTGGTAAAGGCTCAAAATTGTAGAACCATCCCAGAACAAAGAGACATTCATCAAAAGAACAAACCCCACCATGGGACGATATAATGTACCAATAAACTATGGGCCAGGCATTCCCATAAAGCTTCTGTTTGTGTGCTACACATTGATACAAAACAAAACATCATAGTGGTGATGAATTTTAACTTTGCATATTAATGGCATTAAAGAGACTTAGTAACATCATATATAGAGGAATATCTATCTAACAGCAGGGTCTTTCATTTTCACAATTTTTTTCACTTCCCTTTTCATATTAATGCATCCTTTCCAGCTAGCTAGTTTAACCGCAAGTCAAAGGCATACTTGGATATCATAAATTAAAGAACAGTAATTCTGTGGATTTGAAGAATGAATCAACAAAAAGAAATATTTACATGTATTAGATGGAATAGAAGCAAATTAGATTCAAGGAACATAGCATTCTGATAACATAATGAGATGGAAGAGAGAATTATCTACAATATAATTATACTAACCCGCCATCATATAATCAAGGGCTGCATAGCAATATGTTCCCATCACTTGAGTTGAAACATGAGTTAAGTCTTCCTCTTGAGCATCTTTTGTAAGCCCAAAATCAGAAAATTTTGCAATGTATTCCTGAAGAAGAAAATCGTTAAGATTGAAGGAAAGTTGTGCGTTCATGACTAGTAGAGTATGCAATATTCCACTAACCAAATCCAATGGGATATTAGAAGTTTTGAAGTCTCCAAATATCATTGGCCTTTCAGCTTTCTCGTGCAGAAATGCAAGGTCCTTTACAGCACCAAACATAATTTTCATTCTGATTGACCATTGAAGGGACACACATCCTGATAATATATGACAATATTACTTGTTCTCTGATATATAAAAATATATGACATTATTACTCGTTCTATGGTATATCTCTAGTATACAATTATTGAATCATAGTAAAATAACGTATACAATATTTAAATCTAATTATTTATCATCATATTTAATTATATATGAAGTCACTTAAATCTTGATTGACAATTTGTTAGGCTATCAGCTGACTTCAACCAATATTTCACTCAAATGAAGTCACTAATTTCTATATTTCATTAATGCAATTGCTATTCGAATTGCTAACTCTATCCGAAGAACCATTATGTGTTTCTCTTCTATGAGTATAGGAACTCAAAACAAGTGCTACTTTAGAGAAGAGGAATCACGTTAAGGAGCTACGATCAAAGAAGAAATATATAACAATGTCAATTGGGCTACTATGCTAAAAAATCTCAACACATGAATGGTGTTATGTGCACCGTCGGGAGAAGGGGATAATAATGTGTGAGAAGTGAGAGAGAAGAATTTTAGGTTAAGGGTTAAGATTGGAATTAAAAGTTTAAAATAAATATATAAATGGAATAAAAAAATCATATTTTAAATAATGCTAACACATTTCTTTATAAAAACAAAAAGAGAAGTTAAAAGAAACTTCTACAAGATACTGATAATAAGCTATTATTATTTTTTAAGAAAAAATAAAAAACACTTGAGGAAAATAAAAATAATTAAGTTGGGTTTGGGGCTAAGCATCTAACTATAGTTATCAAATGAGACTTGAGCATATTCAAATTCTCCACATATTTGACGAAACTTGATCTCTATTCTCTTAAATTGTATTTTGTGCACCACTAGGGGAAAAGGGAATAATGTGGGAGACGTGTCGGAATAAGGGTGTTAAGTTAAGAGTTAAAATTGAAATTAAAGAACTAAATTGAAGATATAAATTGAATAAAAAAGTTACTTTTTTAATAAAGCTGATGTGCTTTTTAAGAGGAAAAAAAAACTAGGAGATGATTCTAGAAGCTTTGATTTGAAGTTTTTTTTTTCTTTTAGGAAAAAACATTTGAGAAAAACAAAAGTAGCAGAGAGGTAGGAACAAAAAAGGATCCAATATAGTTTTGCCCCTAAGATTTCTACCTTAGATATTAAATGAAATTTTAATGGATCCAAATTCTCCCTATGGTGGATGAAACTATGTATGTATTTTATAGGTGGTATTTGGTGTGCTACCGTTGATGCACTTTGCGAATACAAAGAGAGAGAGAGAGAGAGAGAGAGAGAGAGAGAGAGAGAATCAAGGAGAACGAAGCTAGAAGATGCATATGCAAGCTTTGATAAGAATCAAATGAGACTTGAGTAGATTGAAAATCTTTCTATGTTGAATGAAGATCGATCTAATCTCTAGATGGTGTTCTATGTGCAGTTGGGAAAAGAGGGGAACAACGTAACATAAATGCCGTGAGAAGTGTATTATGTAGAGAGTTGAAAATTTTTAATGACGATATAAATGAAACCAAAAATTACAGTTTTGTTAAAGTTGATGTGCTTTTTTTAGAGAGAGTGAGAGAGACTTTGATGAGAAGATTTCTTTTTAGAAAAACAAAAAAAAAACATTTCAGGAAAGCAAAAGTAACGCAGAGGTGCGAACAAAAAGGAATACAATCAGGCTTTGAGCCAAAGCTTCCTACCTTACCTATCAAATGAGATATGAGTAGATTAGAATTATTACTAAGTTGGATGAAACTCAATCTCTAATCTCTAAAAGGTATAGTATGTTCCGCCAGAGAATGAGCGAAATAATGTGAGAGAAATGTCGGGAGAAGATATTAAGTTAAGAGTTAAAATTGGAATTAAAAATTAAAATTGATTTTAGAAAAATAATAGAGAGAATCTAGAATATGCTTCTAAGATATTATTATTATTTTTTGAGGAAAATAAAAAATATTTGAGGAAAAAGCAAAGCGATAGAGAGATTGGAATAAAAAGCAACATAATTGGGTTTTCAGGCTAAGCTTAATACCTTTGTTATCAAATGAGACTTGGTTAGATTCAAATTCTCCTTATGTTGTTTGAAACTAAATTATATTCTCTGGATGGTATTCTCTGAGCCCTGGGAAAAGAGAGAGTATTGATATAAAAGAGTAGGAGAAAGGTATTCATTGAAATTGAAATTAAAAATATATAATGATATTAATAGAATAAAAAAATTACTTTTACAATAAAGTTGGTCTGTATTTTTCACACACACACAAAAAAGCTAGAATATGCTTTTGGAATATTTGAGTAAAAGTTATTCTTCTTTCTGAGGAAAACAAAACCAAAAAATATTTGTGGAAGATAAAAGTAACGCAATGCATTCGGGTTTTGGGTCTAAGCTTCCTACCTTAGTCTTCAAATGAGGCCTTGAGTATATCCAAATTTTTCTTATGTTAAATGAAACTAGATCTCAATTGTGTAGATAGTATTTTGTATCCTGCTGAGGAAATACAGGAATATTGTGAGAGAAATTTTGGGAGAAGAGTATTTGGTTAAGAGTTAAAATATCAATAAAATTTTAAATTACGATATAAACGGAACGGAAATTCATATTTTTAAAAAGTTGAACATTTAAAACAAAAGAAATAAGAGCAAAGAGTATGATTTGATAAGATTCTATCATTATTTATTTGAGAAAAAAAAAGCATTTGAAGGAAACAAAAGTAAGAGAGGTGGGAACAAAAGGAAATGTAGTCGAGTTTTGGGGCTAAGATTCATACCTTAATTAAAAAAAAGAGATTTGAACAGATCTGAACTATTCTTATTTTGGACGAAACTCGATCTCTATTCTTTATATGGTATTCTGTGCGCAGCTAAGAAAGGGGAAACAATGTGAGAGAAATGTCAAGAGATGAGTATTAGGTTAAGAGTTCAAATTGGAATTAAAAATTTTAAATAAGGATATAAATGGAATCAAATATTACATTTTTGATAAAATCAATGTGTTTTTTAGAGAGAGAAAGACCGAGAGAGAGGTGTACTCGGGTTTTGGGGCTAAGATTCATACCTTAATTAACAAAAGAGATTTGAGCAGATCTGAACTATTCTTAGGTTGGATGAAACTCGATCTCTATTCTTTATATGGTATTCTGTGAGCCTCTAAGAAAGGGGGAACAAAGTGAGAGAAATGTCAAGAGATGAGTTTTATGTTAAGAGTTCAAATTGGAATAAAATTTTTTAAATAAGGATATAAATGGAATCAAAAATTACGTTTTCGATAAAATCAATGTGTTTTTAGAGAGAGAAAGACTGAGAGAGAGGGAGAGAGGGGGGAGAGAGAGAGACTAGAAGATGCATCTGGAAGCTTTGATAAACTGATTTTTTTATTTGAGGAAAATAAAAAAAAAAATTGAGGAAAACAAAAGTAATAAATAGAAGCCCACAAAGGAATACAATCATGATTTGGGGCTAAGTTTTCAACCTTAGTTATCAAAAAAGACTTGAGTAGATTGAAATTCTTCCTATGATGGATTAAACTTAATCCCCAATCTCGAGAAAGTATTCTGTATGCCGCTGGGAAAAAAGGGAAACAATTTCAGAGAAGAGAAGGGTATTAAGTTAACATTTAAAATTGGAATGAAAATTTTTAAATATGGATATAAGTGAGACAAAAAAATTACGTTTTCGATAAAGTCGAAGTTTTTTTTCAAAATAAAGAAGAAGAATCTAGAATATGCTTATGATAAGATGCTATTATTATTTTTTTGAGGAAAAAAAAAATTGAGACTTAAACAAAAAGGAATAGTCAGGTTTTCGGGCTAAATTTCATACCTTAGTTATCAAATGAGACTTACACATCCATATTTTTCTTATGGTTGATGACACTTAGGGTGTGCATGACAATCTTCTCAGAATCAATTTTTGTTCCTGGGAATATAAATGGATAGAAACAGTATTTGACAAAATCAGTTTATTTTTTTGTTCATGAGAATGAACCGGTTCAATTTCTAAGCTGGAAAAAAAAACAATCAAATTTTTTTGTTTTTTTATTCTCGGGAACAAAATGAGAAACACTTGTCTCTCTCAACCACTTTCCACCACTATAATCATCACTGTAAAACTCTGTATATCTCCGGTTTGTTATCATATCATCGTATTAAGCCACGCTTAATTTAAAAATGCGGAATATCTTTTTCTTTTCAATTATGATGTCATTATCGTTAGCCAAGTTGAATTACTTAATTCATTTCATAAAAACATCGCATGTATATAAATGGCAAAAGACAGCTAACTGAAATATCTCAATATATAATTAACTGTGAGTCTCTAAAATCACGGAACTACAACACGTAGCCCAGACATAATCCTGATACATTATTACATCTCAGATCTAAACTAAAAGATAGTCAATCAATGTGGCATGGAAATCCCCATGCTCACCAAATAACGCAACAAAGCCAAACATAGTCTCAACAACAACAATATAATAATAACAAGCTAAAGGCATATCATCAGCAGATATAATCCAGCATCCAAACATATCATCATCTAAACAGCAATATCAGCTAAGCTCTGGCCTCCTGCCACTAGAGGTCTCAACCCCCGCATTACCTGAACCTGAAATCTGTGCCCGAAACGTGGGGTGAGATCTCTAAACAGAAATCTCAGTAAGCCAAGGGGTCCTCTAGGATCTTCCACCCCAAGCTCACTTACATGTGCAATATAAGTTTTAAAAGCAATAATTCAATATCAGTTCCAAAATCAGTGCAATGCAGCAGATAATCATGTCATGTGTGTTATAACTATTCTACTGATCAGAGAAATGCAGGAATACATCTATTACCCACACAGTACCAGCCCGTGCTGTACTCGCCCCCAAGACCACCCCATGGCTTCCTGGCTAGGCGAAACACCACATACATATCATAAGCATTTTGCACTTAACAGCTCCATAGCATTTCAATAAAACAGTACATGAAAACACATCATGCATATAACCATCCCCCTATGGGACATGGTGGAACATACAATGGCTAAACCG